AGGAGGTGAAGAGCATGCCTTCCTGGCTGTAGGATCTAAGGAGGCCAATAACGGGCCTCCATTTAATTTTCCTGGTAATTTTGGTGGGCCAAATGCCTTTGGACCACCACTGCCTCCTCCAGGATTAGGAGGAGCCTTTGGTGATGTTAGGCCTGGTATGCCTTCAGTTGGAAATAGTGGTTTGCCTGGTCTGGGACTGGATATTCCAGGTTTTGGAGGTGGACCAAATAATTTAAGTGGGCCAGGATTTGGAGGGGGTCCTCAGAATTTTGGAAATGGCCCTGGTAGCTTAGGTGGTCCCCCAGGCTTTGGAAGTGGCCCTCCGGGTCTTGGAAATGCCCCAGGCCATTTGAGTGGTCCACCAGCCTTTGGGCCTGGGCCCGGGCCCGGTCCTGGTCCAATCCACATTGGTGGTCCCCCTGGCTTTGGATCTAGTTCTGGAAAACCAGGACCTACAGTAATTAAAGTGCAGAACATGCCCTTTACTGTGTCTATTGATGAGATTTTAGATTTCTTTTATGGTTATCAAGTGATCCCAGGCTCAGTTTGTTTAAAATACAATGAAAAAGGTATGCCTACAGGGGAAGCCATGGTGGCCTTTGAATCTCGGGATGAAGCCACAGCTGCTGTCATTGATTTGAATGACAGACCTATAGGCTCAAGGAAAGTAAAACTTGTATTAGGATAGCTATTCAAATCAATTCTTTGTAGGGTAGATATTCATAGTGTTGTGATTAATGCATCCAGATTGTTTTCCTAGTATTTCCAGGTTAGAACCTGTGGATTGTTTCTATTGCATATAGGTTGGTTTTCATAACATAGAGCATTGGTTGACTGTTTACAGAAGACTCACAACCAGGATAAACATTGCTGTATGTTATAGTAAAACTGTGTGGAGAGAACACAAAAATGATTTTGGCATACCATTAGAGAAACGATTTGTAAAACTCAAATGATGACATAAAGCTTATCAAGGAGTCTAGATTGGTTTTGTTTTGTACCATATGGGATGAAGAAAATAGAATTGTCAATAGAGCTCATTAAGGGTGCTCTTGCCAGCTGCTGAAAAATAGAAGTTGGTTATTCTTGGAATTTGGTTTAAAGCTGGACAGATTTGCTTTGTTATAGGATCAAAGCTTTGTCTAAAGTCTTTATTTTCTTTTAAAATTAAATAAAATCTCTGTATACAGATTCACTGTATGTACCTTTATTGCTTTTTGAGGGTTCTTGCTGTATAGACAGTCCTGCTTCTGAAGTTGCTGCTTTGTTTGCCTAACTGACTCATTTGTAAATGAGCAGAACTGTTTTGTTATATTTTTTTAATATAAAACTCCACACTTGGTTTGTGCTATAACCTTGAATTTTGATTTCTAATGTCACACTTAAAACTGTGGAATAAGACTTTGCCACAAAAATAAAATACGGAGTTCTCTACCTACCAGAGCCTTTTTGGTTTGACTGCCAACTTTTAGTTCAGTCAGTTTAAAAATTGTTCATGTTGTTTGAATGGCTTCTAAAACCAGAAACTTCTTTTATAATCATTGTTTAAGATTCCTGATTTGAAGTCCAGTTCGTGATGGACTAATGTTCTGGCAATTTCTTTCTGTCCCAAATTTATGAAATTTTGGCCTATAACTAAACACAGAGAGTCCATTCATAAAAAAGATTATTACACCTAGGTTTTTTAAATGAAGTAGAAATTGTTAGCTGTGTTAGCAATAGTGTTATAGAAGAAAAAAAATCTAAGCTGGTTTGTAGATTCATATGCATTTAATCCTGTTACTTGGAGGCTTTTGGTCTAGTAATTTGATCAGGAGCCTGTTTACAAAAATTCTTCATGTAGAATATAAGTGCAGCTGCCAGAGGGGAGAGAATTGAGACTCCTTGCCCTTTCATATTATTTTCTTTGGCATTCAGGACACTAAGGCAGGAGGACCACATGGGTTCTGGTCGATAAGTGTCCTTGTCATGAAAAACATTTGCCTTACAATGTCTTGCTCACTGCCACAAAGGCTCTACTTTTGGTTACTTTCCTTCTTACTTAAAATATTCTAAGGAACTGCCACGTAATAAACATGGTTGGAATGGGAGATTGGGGAGATATCATGAAAAACAAATTTTGTCTTTTACATGGGCCTCTGTCTTGGTTTAAAACACCCTCAACATTTCCTAACAAATCAATGTATTTACAAAGGGGTCAGCCTTTTAAAAGCAGTGTTTCTGGGGGCGGTGCCTTTTTTGTGTTGCAAGTCAGTGGAACACTGAAATACAAGCGCCGTGTAATTTAGAGTTAAGAGTGGCAACAGTTTCATTTGTGTGGTAAGATTTGGAAAGCCTTTCATCACTACAATATTAGAGGATTGACGTACAGGATTTTTGTGTAGGGCAAGGATTGGTTAGACTTTCAAAAAAGACATGGCTGTGTTGTGGGTTTTGGTAATTCACGAATACAAATTTGCTTTGACAGATCACTAGATATTTCCTCCTCAATTGAAAAAAAGCAATATGATGTTTGTATATGCTGTTCAATTTAAGTTTTCTGTTAAGTAATCATTTCTCATTCCAAGGACAGAGTGCAAAAAACTTCAGCACTGTTTATAGGAGTTTGATTTCAACTGCAGATTATTTTCCCCACTGGAAAGCTGACAGTTTTTATTTTAGAAAAATAGGTTGTTTGAAGATGAAAGTCTTTTATCTTTTTTCACAATTTATTTTGGTTATATGTTCGTACATTCTTACTAAATATTTCACATACTTTATTACAACCATTTTGTTATTTCTACATCTTAGGTAAATGCTGAAAAGGGATACTTGATTTTTTTGTTCACCAAATTAAATAAATTAAGAAAATAGTGGTTGTGTAGAAATTGGAGAGAACTGTTTCATATTTGGTTGAATCACAACAATGCTTTTCTTGTTGTGAAATGTAATTAAATGCGTTGCCCTTTGGAACTTGATTTTTGTGTATTTGAGACTACGTATTACATATTGCTAACTGCTAAGCATACTGTTCATCTTGTGCTGGGCATTGGAGTTTGAGTTTTTAAAAAATTCTTGAAAATATGTTTTATGAAATTATCCATACATCTTTTTTGCACATTTTTTTATATGGAGTAGGTTTTGGGTGATAATTTACGTTTTCTTACTTGCTTTGTATGATATGAAGGATTTGTAAAGCTTTGCTCAAAGTTGTGCATTTGTAAACATATTTACAATTTTATGTGTAAATTTTATTGTGTTTTGGTGACTGACATTAATGGAAGAGAATCTTTTCCATTAGGTCTAATATTTTTTCTACATCTCCCCCCACTCTTCCCAGCTGGTGTGTGTGTGTGTGTGTGTGTGTGTGTGTGTGTGTGCCCACGCGCATGGGGTGTTGTTTTAAATGGTTTAAAGGATTAGAAAAATCTACAAAATGTATTTTATAAGTAAACAAATTTGTAAACTTTTTTTGAACTTTAGTGAAACATTTAGTTCACAAGCAAAATTTGGAGGCGTGTTTTGTATATACACTATAGTTTGGACATGCAATTATTAGCGACTTTTTAAAAAATGCAACACTGTTGAGTGAAATGTAGTTTCTAGCTTTGTGCTCCAAGTTACCAAAGCAATGCAGTGACAGTGAAATTGCTTTATATTTCCACTGGGAAACTTTTATTCAAAACTTCAGAGAGTAATATTTATCATAATCATGTCAGTTTTAAGCCACTGGATAAAAATCTAGTGCTGTGTATGGAAGTAAGCACACACATTCTGGGTGGAAATACCTTGGATAAAAATAAGGATGCATGAAATCCTTAAACTTCGAGTCCCTTTTATTGAATTCTGTCATTGTGTACAGGTGTGGGTCAACATTTAAAAATAAATACGCTCATTAGTTGCAAGAACATTTAAAAAGCAAGTTAAGAAAATGTGAAAATTCTTGGTAGTCAGATCTTCTGGAAAGAATTTCTGGCAATGATCACTTTTAAAATTACCACTCTTGCTCAAATTACCACATTTAAATAGTTTTACTGGCAGTTCTATAGTGGTTCATACTTCAGAAACCAAACACAATAAAACGACTCATTGCCAATATGGCCAAAAATTGCCAACAAATATGGCCTTGGCATCATTCAGCACGGGTTTTTGTTTATAAAGATGAAGTCTTGGATACTGTTCAATAAACTTGTCACAAAATAAAACAGGCTGATGCTTTCAATGCTTTAATTATACAAGATACTCTAATGAGCTATACCATCAGGTTTGCGTGTTGTTGCTTAACACCTGAAAATATTTTGTGCCTTTGGAAAGGTGGATTTGGTGATCTTGGAGGTAGCAGTTGTTGCTTATCCTTGTCCACTAATGCAGAAGTATGGGAAGAAGAGGATACCTGGAACGGCAGGGAGGAAACTTGATTCTAGGTTGAATCTGTGGTATTAACCCTTTAAGACTTTTATTATATGTGTTCTGCTAGCAAGCCCAGTTCATTATGCGGACTCGACAAGAAACCAGATGCTCCTTTTCCCAGGAGTCAAAGTGGGCTGTGAATTGTCTTTTTAAAAAACTGATTAGGAAATGGGAAAAGAAATCTTCAGAATACATTGTCAATCGCACATACCTTAAAAGCTGTTTGTTTGTTTTTATTTATTTGTTTTTTGCATTAGTGTATTTGAGGGGGGAAAGAGGAGAGAGAAATCAAAAATGTTGCTGCTGTCTGACATTGATGTTCTGGTTTTGTCCCTTCCACATTTATTCAACTTCTGCTGAAATAAACATGAAAAGTTTTCATAAGCTTCACAAGGTCCTTTAAAGTTAAAAAAAAATCTGGTTTGGAGTTGCAGAGAAATTTGTGAGCTTTTCTTTTAACCAAAGCTCTTGAAAAATACAACTTTTACTTTTATCATGAAAGAGTTTTAGCCTGTATTTGAGTTTGAATATACAGATTGTATTAGAAGGGTTTAGACTGGACAACTCTGGGTAGTTGGTGAGCTATTTTAAAATTATGAAGGTTCAACTAAGCATTTGAAAAATCACAGAGTGAAATCAGCTGCCTGCAGAGATCCAGAATGGTCTTTATGATCTTAAAGAGGTGAACTGTGTGCTAATAATAAGTCTTTTTCTTGTTCAGGTGAGATCATTCACTTCTATCACTCACTGTCCATTTTTCAACATTTTGTAGCAAGTAATAGTTTATCAGTTACATGCATCCCCACCGTTCTCCCTATTTTCCAAAAGTAGAGCTTTTATGGGATATGGTTCAATGAAAACTTAAGGTTATCCTTTTTAATTAAAAAAATTGTTTGATTTCAGTGTCATCTTTTATAACAAAATCTGATCGATTCACTTATTGTAAAATGTTCTGGAAAGAGTACTCTGGTGGTGGCACAGTTCTCTGATGCTGTAGGACTTCTCTGGGAAACCCCTTCTGTTCAACAACATAAGCAAGTTCAACTCTTATTGGTGCCTGCTCACATAAAGGTTAATTCTTTGCTGTTCTTGGATTTATTCTTGTTGCCTTGAGCTGCTTTGTGCCAGAGGACTCATAAGCATCCTAGACTTGGCTTCTTTCTGGATCTACATAACTAGCAACAAACAACTAAGGTGGCACTGCTGTTCTGCATATTGTTCTACTCCTAAAGAGTTCAGAAGGGGCAAAAAGCCACCTGCTGCTGCAAGCATTCTAGACATAAGGGCAGCACTCTAAAATCTGAGGGTAGGAAATAGTGCTGGGGAAAATCGCATTAACTATATTCCTTGAATTTTGTCATGAGGCCCTTGGACCTTCTCCCAATAAAAGTGATAGGTCATAGAGACTAAACAAATTCCAGCTGTGGAGAAGTGGCACAGTAGAACACTGGAGTTGCTGCCCCAGCTGATCCAGATATCTGGACTCTGACTTTAGAAATTTAATAGTTTAAAGTCTCTTTTCCTGATCAGTAACTGAAGCTTGCTGTTTAATGTTAAGAGAAGGAAGAGATGACTATTGGGGAAAACAGAGCTATGACCAGCAGAGAACATAATTCAATATGGACAGAGTCAAAGATGTTGAATAAGCATAACATCCCAGGAGTGAGCTATCCTGTATTGAAACAGGCTGTTTCATTCCTTCTCAATTCTAATGTTGCCCTTTAACCACTTACATAGTAAATCTGCTGGTAACCAGGATTATGAGTTTTACTTAAACTGAAGTCCCCTCACTGCTATCTGTGTAGCCCTAGCTTCCTAATTGGAGTGAAGGAGGCATGAATTCACACATGACTCCTGATTAGTGAATAAGATTACCCAGTTAGACATTTGTGCTACAAGTCACTTGTTAGTCCTCACAGAAATTCAGCTACTTAAGGAGCCTTAAGTCATACCAACGGGTGCTATTGCTGATTTTCTTTTTCCTTTTCCACTTGGAAGTGAGTTAATGCCACTACACTCCCCCACATATTGGGTTGCAATACAGAGGGT